ATCTGGACGCACGATTGGTCTCGGCCACTACTGTCCTGTGCAAACTGAACTGAACTGAAACTGAACTGAACTGAACTAAAAAACAGGCGGCATTTCGAAGGTGTCGCTACAATCGGCTTGTAACGGGGTTTTTATTTATTACTCACCTAACGATGAGGTAAGGTTTCGTTACCAATGTGATTTTGTCCATGAATTTTTTAAAAACATAATATTGGCTTTCCGATTTTTTTTTGTATTTTTCATTTGCATTTGATAGGCTATTACATATATATATATAATGTGTAATATGTATATAATATATGTTATATATATTGGTGTATATATGTAGGTTTATATAAAATATGTTTTGGTTTATTCTTCTAGTGCCGCTCTGGATTGTCAGCAGCTAAGACACTATTCTGATTTTGAAACGGGATCGGAGAGTGGTGTTTCAGATCTTTCCTATGTTCATCCATATCAACCCAAGAAGTCAGTGAAGCGCAATAAACCTGTGGTTACTTCCGTACAACGAGTATCAAAAAGGGGTGCCAGAGCTACTCGAAGACAAAATAACGGCAAGTTTGTGTTTCTCGGCCTTGATAAAGATGTTTTACCCGTTGGAATTCTAGTGACAACACAACTATGCGTTTTTCCATTTTCGCAAAATTATCCATGAAATAATGCGAGTCGCTTTTAACTTTTTAATATAGTCAAAGGCCTTGTGACTAAAATGGTCGTATAGTGTCATCCTTTATTATTAGAACTATTGTGATCAAAATGCCGAATTCCGAGAGTATTTAAATCTGAAAAACACCATTGTTTGCGAATATGTAAATAATCATTGGAATAGCTATTCCTTTTTCAGTGTTGGCCCACAGGTTATGGCTAGTAATAGAAACCTGCGCATCTTTACTTTGGAAGTTAAGTGGGATTCATCCCGTATTATTTTTACCATTTTACACTCCACTGAGCCGGCTAGATGTAACCATTCCAGTATTCCTGCATAAGTGTGTCCAGTTCCACATTGAAGAGACTATCATTTGGCGCTCCAATCACATCCTCCGTTAAGGCATTGTGGAGAGTTGTCACTTACTCTTTACTTTTGATCGACTAACTCCTGCGGGAAGATAAGTCGGCTTCTTGGATGTCTCTAATGATGGCGGTCCATGCATGACCATCGGTAGCAGAGTTGACGCAGTGTGAAACCCAGTTCTGGTTTCAGTTGAGAATTCCATATACGGATTGAAGGCCTAGAAATTCCAAATCCGCCTTGATCGTACTACTCCAGGTCTTCAGTTGCCTACCGAGTCGGCAACGCCATCCAAGGCACGGTGCGGGGCTACAGCCTGTCGCGAGAGTTGAGTGTCGGGCCTTCGGAGCACATAGCCAAACCACTGAGCGCCGTCGAACCTCATCATCAGAAATCCGCTCTCTCCAATTTACTTTCAAGATGCGGTGTAAGCACCAGTGATCGAAGACTTGGAGCTTCCTTGTATCTCGTACTCTTAGCGGCCAGGTTTCGCAACCATAAGTGGGGTGGATGGAAGCTTGATAAACCCGAAGGTTGGTGTTTAAGCTTATTTCACATAGCTTCCACAACGGATTGAAGAGTTGCGGGAAAGCTCTTCTAGCTTCTAGCTCTACACGGAGTTGGATTTCATCCTTAGCCTGGCCGTTTGGTCTTATCGTAAAGCCAAGATACCTGAAAACTTCGGTTGATTCGATTAACTCCCCGTTAATCGAGAGGGGTTGTGTCATGGCAGACGTTTCGGTTGAAAATGTTTTCGTTTTCGACGTGTTGATCTCTAACCCAATGGACTGGGCAAACTTGTTTATACGATTGACAACATGCTGGAGGTTGTCCATGGTGTCTCCAAATACAACGACATCATCCGCAAACTGGAGGTCCGCAATCCATGCACCTGGGCCAAGCTGCACTCCAGGGTAGTCGATGAGTGCTTGTCGCATTATGCAATCTACGGTGTAATTGAATAACACCGGTGATAGGGAACAAGCGTACCTAACCCCAGAACTTAGGATAAACTCCACCGATTCTTCTCCATAGGTATGGACTTGTGCCCGGGTTCCTGAGTAGTGACTTCAAAAACCTGACGAACTTCTCAGGCATCCCGTCGGACCGCAATATGCACCACAAGGATTCTCTATCGACAGAGTCAAACGCAGCGCGGAAGTCAATGAAACATGCGGTGATAGGCTGTTGAAATTGTAGTGGTGTTCCAGAATCCTACGGAGAGTGAGGATTTGTTCGACACAGCCTCTTCCGCGGCGAAACCCTCCTTGGTTCGGGCGAGTTCGGATATCTCCGACGACTGCGAAGCAATTAAACAGTATCACTGCAAACAACTTGGCCGCAATATCAATTTTCGCATCTAGATCTGTCACCCTTTTCTGGAACCGGGACTAAAGTTGACGCCGTCTAGTCTTTTGGGAAAACTTCTCTTTCCCAAATGCTGTGGAAAAGAGAGTGCAGCGCGTCGATCAAAGTTGGTAGGCAAGCTTTTAATAACTCTGGTGGAATCTCGTCTTTTCCAGGAGCCTCCCCGTTTTTCGGAGAAGTGACTGCATTGATGATTTCTGTAGTACTAAATGGGTCAATTGGTGTCGTAAGTCTCCGAACTACTTGACACCTGTAGAGAACCAGCTTGGTTTGATGGTCGGTTGAGCAGCCCGTCGAAGTGTTCAACCCACCTTTGAATTTTTTGCTCAGTTTCCTGAATAAGTTGGCCTGTGGTGCTGCGCAACAGTGGTTCCGATGTCTGCCTCTTTCCTGCTGCGACACGAATTAGACGGAATAGCTTTACAATGTCCGCTGCGACAGTTGCAGCCTCCATGTTGTCTGCAATCGCCTCCCAGTATTGTTTACGATCACCCTTTGCAGAGCGTGTGGCTAGGCGACGGAAAATACGAAATTCAGGAGAATTGATCAACCGCGCATCTCTTGCCTTTGCGAACAACTGCAGTGTACGGTCGGAGATCCAGTCTCTCTTGTGGCGAAGAATCTCACCTAGTTGCCCCAGCGTCGCTTTTCTGATGGACGTTTTCAGTGTAGACCACTGTGCGTTGACAGTTGAGTCGTCATAGAAAGTTTCGGCCATGTTGGCAGCGGTTGCGTGCAGCAGCGCCTGCCTTCTATCAGATCGTTCCAAGAGCGCGACGTCTAATTTTCCCGGGAGACGAGTCTTCCGGCGAGTAGTCAGGTGGATCTTGAAGCGGGCACGTACAAGGGTATGGCCCGTACCGTTCCTGTTTCCAGTTTATGCGACGCGATAGGAAAGGTAGTCTTCCACCGAAGAGGTCTAGCGAGCTCGTACCAAAATATAATCAATCTGGTGTGCCGTTCGACCACTATTTGAGTACCACGTAAGCAGGTGTTTTCTGGGGTGCTGAAAAAGAGTTTTGGCCACGACCAGCCGGTTAAGGTCAGCAAATGTGCCTAGGCGTTCGCCATTTTCGCAACGTTGACTAAGGCTGAAATTTCCCAGAACATGCCGAGTATGCTCGTTTGATGGATCAGTGCGTGCATTCCAGTCTCATGCGGTAACGAAAATGTCGAGTCTCGGTTCACTGGGTCTTGAACTTGGTTGTAGAAGTCTTCTTTGATGGGCTCTTCCGCACGTAACTTTGAGGCATATACAGCGATGACAATCAGGTTAAACGGCTTTCCCCTGAAGCGCGCTATGGCAATCCTGGGAGAGATGGGTTTCCATGAGATTATGGCATTGCTGGTCCGGCCACTCACGACGATTGCTACCCCGTACAAACTGGAGTTGTCAGTTGGGCCGCTGTGGTATGACCGATAGGTTGCGTTCCTGTGGTACGTTGATTAGTTTG